ACTCAACTACAGGGTTGGGAACTTCAAGTTTTGTAAATTATTTTGTTATTTGAAATTTCTGAAAATTTTTGAAAAAATCTAAAAAATCGTCTTATCTCGTTAACTAAAATGATTCGGGCACTCAAAATTGGAGGCCAAATTTGCAACCCCTAATTCGATATTGGGCTGCTTAATTTAAACTCGGTAAAATAACCACTAAAATCAAATTGGAAAATGAAAAAAAAATTCTTAACCATTGCAATATACGATATAGCTTAAACATGCAAAAATAATACGTTGAAAAAACTTAAACATGGCGAGATAGTGAAGCCCGCATTTAAATATATAATAGATTTAGGTTTTCTCAAAATTTTTGAAAAATGTCACAAAAAACGTCATATCTCGAAAACTACAAGGATATGAACAGTCATATTTGGAGGCAAGATTCGCAATCTTTGAGATTACTCTGACAGGACCCAACTTCAGGGTTGGGAACTTCAAGTATTGTAAATTATTTTGTTATTTCAAATTTCTGAAAATTTTTGAAAAAATCTAAAAAATCGTCTTATCTCGTTAACTAAAATGATTCGGGCACTCAAAATTGGAGGCCAAATTTGCAACCCCTAATTCGATATTGGGCTGCTTAATTTAAACTCGGTAAAATAACCACTAAAATCAAATTGGAAAATGAAAAAAAAATTCTTAACCATTGCAATATACGATATAGCTTAAACATGCAAAAATAATACGTTGAGAAAGCTTAAACATGGCGAGATAGTGAAGCCCGCATTTAAATATATAATATTGCAACCCCTAATTCGATATTGGGCTGCTTAATTTAAACTCGGTAAAATAACCACTAAAATCAAATTGGAAAATCAAAAAAAAAAATTCTTAACCATTGCAATATACGATATAGCTTAAACATGCAAAAATAATACGTTGAAAAAGCTTAAACATGGCGAGATAGTGAAGCCCGCATTTAAATATATAATAGATTTATGTTTTCTGAAAACTTTTGAAAAAAGTCACAAAAAACGTCATATCTCGAAAACTACAAGGATATGAACAGTCATATTTGGAGGCAAGATTTGCAATCTTTGAGATAACTCTGACAGGACCCAACTTCAGGGTTGCGAATTTCAGATTTTGCGAAAAAAAACTAATATAAGTTTTCTAAAAACTTTTTGAAAAAAATAACAAAAAACCTCTATCTCGAAAACAAAGATTTGAACAATCATATTTGTTGGCAAGATTTGTAACTCCTCAGAGTAATCTGACAGCACTCAACTACAAGGTTGAGAATATCAAATTTTGAGAAATAATTAGTTAAAATTTTCTGAATTTTTTTTTTTTAAATCACAAAAAACATCATATCTCGAAAACTAAAAGGATTTGAGCTGTCATATTTTGAGGCAAGATTCGCAATCCTTGATAGTACTCTGACAGTACCCAAGTACAGGGTTAGGAATTTCAGATTTTAAAAAAATAATAATTCAAGTTTTCTGAAAACTTTTGAAAAAATCACAAAAAACGTCATATCTCGAAACTACAAAGAATTGAGCAGTCACATTTGGAGGCAAGATTCGCAATCTTTGAGATTACTCTGACAGGACTCAACTACAGGGTTGGGAATTTCTGATTTTCGAAAAATAATAATTTAAGTTTTCTGAAAATTTTTGAAAAAAGTCACAAAAAACGTCATATCTCGAAAACTACAAGGATTTGAACAGTCATACTTGGAGGCAAGATTCGCAATCCTTGATAGTACTCTGACAGTACTCAACTACAGGGTTGGGAACTTCAAGTTTTGTAATTTATTTTGTTATTTCAAATTTCTGAAAATTTTTGAAAAAATCTAAAAAATCGTCTTATCTCGTTAACTAAAATGATTCGGGCACTCAAAATTGGAGGCCAAATTTGCAACCCCTAATTCGATATTGGGCTGCTTAATTTAAACTCGGTAAAATAACCACTAAAATCAAATTGGAAAATGAAAAAAAAATTCTTAACCATTGCAATATACGATATAGCTTAAACATGCAAAAATAATACGTTGAGAAAGCTTAAACATGGCGAGATAGTGAAGCCCGCATTTAAATATATAATATTGCAACCCCTAATTCGATATTGGGCTGCTTAATTTAAACTCGGTAAAATAACCACTAAAATCAAATTGGAAAATCAAAAAAAAAATTCTTAACCATTGCAATATACGATATAGCTTAAACATGCAAAAATAATACGTTGAAAAAGCTTAAACGTGGCGAGATAGTGAAGCCCGCATTTAAATATATAATAGATAATAGATTTAAGTTTTCTGAAAACTTTTGAAAAAAGTCACAAAAAACGTCATATCTCGAAAACTACAAGGATATGAACAGTCATATTTGGAGGCAAGATTCGCAATCTTTGAGATAACTCTGACAGGACCCAACTTCAGGGTTGCGAATTTCAGATTTTGCGAAAAAAAACTAATATAAGTTTTCTAAAAACTTTTTGAAAAAAATAACAAAAAACCTCTATCTCGAAAACTACAAAGATTTGAACAATCATATTTGTTGGCAAGATTTGTAACTCCTCAGAGTAATCTGACAGCACTCAACTACAAGGTTGAGAATATCAAATTTTGAGAAATAATTAGTTAAAATTTTCTGAATTTTTTTTTTAAAATCACAAAAAACTTCATATCTCGAAAACTAAAAAGATTTGAGCTGTCATATTTTGAGGCAAGATTCGCAATCCTTGATAGTACTCTGACAGTACCCAAGTACAGGGTTAGGAATTTCAGATTTTAAAAAAATAATAATTCAAGTTTTCTGAAAACTTTTGAAAAAATCACAAAAAACGTCATATCTCGAAACTACAAAGAATTGAGCAGTCATATTTGGAGGCAAGATTCGCAATCTTTGAGATTACTCTGACAGGACTCAACTACAGGGTTGGGAATTTCCGATTTTCAAAACATAATAATAATTTAAGTTTTCTGAAAATTTTTGAAAAAAGTCACAAGAAACGTCATATCTCGAAAACTACAAGGATTTGAACAGTCATATTTGGAGGCAAGATTCGCAATCCTTGATAGTACTCTGACAGTACTCAACTACAGGGTTGGGAACTTCAAGTTTTGTAAATTATTTTGTTATTTGAAATTTCTGAAAATTTTTGAAAAAATCTCAAAAATCGTCTTAACTCGTTAACTAAAATGATTCGGGCACTCAAAATTGGAGGCCAAATTTGCAACCCCTAATTCAATATTGGGCTGCTTAATTTAAACTCGGTAAAATAACCACTAAAATCAAATTGGAAAATCGAAAAAAAAATTCTACACCATTGCAATATACGATATAGCTTAAACATGCAAAAATAATACGTTGAAAAAGCTTAAACATGGCGAGATAGTGAAGCCCGCATTTAAATATATAATATTGCAACCCCTAATTCGATATTGGGCTGCTTAATTTAAACTCGGTAAAATAACCACTAAAATCAAATTGGAAAATCGAAAAAAAAATTCTACACCATTGCAATATACGATATAGCTTAAACATGCAAAAATAATACGTTGAAAAAGCTTAAACATGGCGAGATAGTGAAGCCCGCATTTAAATATATAATATTGCAACCCCTAATTCGATATTGGGCTGCTTAATTTAAACTCGGTAAAATAACCACTAAAATCAAATTGGAAAATCGAAAAAAAAATTCTACACCATTGCAATATACGATATAGCTTAAACATGCAAAAATAATACGTTGAAAAAGCTTAAACATGGCGAGATAGTGAAGCCCGCATTTAAATATATAATATTGCAACCCCTAATTCGATATTGGGCTGCTTAATTTAAACTCGGTAAAATAACCACTAAAATCAAATTGGAAAATGAAAAAAAAATTCTTAACCATTGCAATATACGATATAGCTTAAACATGCAAAAATAATACGTTGAGAAAGCTTAAACATGGCGAGATAGTGAAGCCCGCATTTAAATATATAATAGATAATAGATTAAAGCGGGGAAAAATAACAACCTAAAAACAAAGTTTTGAACTGTTTAAAGGAAACTGATTGGTCGAAATTTTGGACTTATGTTTGGGGCTTACGCAACTGAGTTTTCTATTTGGGCCCTATGAAAGTTGGGACCTACGGAAGGTCACGGTTCAAATGCGCAAAAAATCAACATAATTGACACGCGCAATTTCGCACCATTTGATATTTTCCGATTCATATAGACTTTACTACAGCTTTCTTTTCGTCCATTGTATAACCAATGCCTGATATTTTTCGGAACAAAACGCGTATTGGTTCAATCGACTTCTTTAAAATACAATTTGTATTATAAAATAATTTATAATCATAATTGATGTTTTTGCGAATCGGGGAGGATTTATAAAAGGCTCTCAGGCCTGTCTAAGCATAGTCAGTTTGCATTATTTTGCCATATTCCAGAGAACGTTTTTTGGGCGAAGAGCTTTGTTCTCGAAATTTTACGCGGCACCACTTTGGCAGCCAAAATCGTTCAGGATTTTCAAAAGTTTTTGTCGAACTTTTTTTTTTAGGTCTACCCGAATTGATTTTCCGAGCTCTCCCAAAGCAGTAAAAAGACCCTGTTTTGGTCAAATTTTGTGCGCCGCAGGCAAAATTTTGAAAAACAGGCCAAAAAAGCGTTTTTAGCACTTTTTAGAAAATTTTGACCAAAAAAATTGCGTTTTTTTGGCACGCGCTCCCCCCTAAAGTAAGTATATATTGGCGCCAAAGGCGCCTTTAGAAAATTTTTAGGGTCCGTCACCAAATATGGATATCTCAAAATAGTACAAAGGGGGGACCCTTTGGGTCGGCAGGGGGTCGAATCCCTGAGTGGGGGGGGGGGGGGGGTCGGGGTGGGGGCCTCCGCCCCCCTCCCAAATCCGCCCCTGTATCAAATGGAAAATTAGTTGAATTGTTTGTGTGACTAAACCCTTTGACGTAACATTTTTTCAGTTACTATGACGAGCTTAATACATTGTTTTCTTTGTTTCAGGACTACTAGAGAGTCAGAAGCGACAAAACGCAACTATCAATGATGTTTATTTGTAAAATCTGATGACCAATATCAACAATACTCGGCCTGCAAATTTCATACATCGATGCTTTAGTACTAAATTCAATCAATCCAATTCATTTGTTGTTACAGAACTTTCTGTTTCAAGTTGTAGATTATCATTAAAATAGCATAAATACAAATTAGACGCAGGCATAGAAAGCAAAATCATACTTGAAAAATATTCAGTTCTTGAAAAAAAATTTGCCAATGAAATACGGGTGATACAAGAGTAGACGGTTGCAATTCAAGTTGCAAAAGAGTTTAGACGGTACCTTTACCAAATGGCATAACTCCCAAATGGCATTAAAATGAAACTTCTCCCAAATGGCCAAAGTTTCAAGTTTTCATTGTAACTAGCGTGTAACGCACCTCCAGTGCTTCGAATTTTTGACAACTCATGAAAAACCGCATATTTTGGAAACCAGATCTGCAGGCTTTAAGTGTACTCTGACAGCACCCAATTACATGGTTGGTAATTTATTATTTTATAATTTTTTTAAATTTGTGTTTTCCGTCATCTCGAAAAAGTCAAATCTCGAAAAGTAAAAACATTTAAGTAGTCATATTTGGAGGCAAGATTTACAACTCCTGGGAGTACCCTGGCAGCACCCAATTACAGGATTGGGATATTTAAACTTTGAGAATTTTTCCAATCCTAAGTTAACTGAAACTTTTGGAAAAATCATAAAAAGACCTCATATCAAAACTACAAGGATTTGAGCAATCCTATCTGGAGCAAAGATTCGCAGCCCCTATGAGTACCCAGACAGCACCCAACAACAGGTTAAGAACTTCAAATTAAAAAAAAAATTTCGTTTTCTGAAAATCTTGGAAAAAATCACAAAAACGTCATCTCTGGAAACCTACAAAGATTTGAGCAGTCATAAATGGATCCAAGGTTCACAACCTGTGAGAGTACTCTGAAAACCCCCAACTGCAGGGTTTGGAATTTCAAATTTTGAGAAAAAATTAATTTAAATTTTTTGAAACATTTTTGAAAATCGTGAAAAAAGGCATATCTCAAAAACTACAATGATTTGAGCAGTTAAAATTGGAGGCAAGGTTCGCAATATCTGAGAGTACTCTGATAGTCCCCAATTACAGGGTTGGGAATTTCAAGCTATGAAGAAAGAAATTCGTTAATTTTTCTGAAAATTAGTTGACATATCACAAAAAACGTCATATCTCGAAAACCACAAGGATTTGAGTAGTCATATTTGGAGGACCCGAGAGTAACACACCCGAGAGTACCCTGACAGCACCCAAATACAGGGTAAGAAATTTCAAATTTTGAAAACAAAAATTAATTCAAGCTTTCTGAAAAAGCACAAAACGTGATATCTCGAAGATAGAAAAAAAAGATAGAAAAAACAGATCAACAAAGAAGGATCGAAAAAAGACAGGAAAAAACGATAGAAAATCCAGATAAAGATAAAGAGAGATTGGAGACAACCGTTTGACAGTAGTACTATTTTGAAGTAAATCGTCGAAACCAAATTGAAAGTTAAAAAAAATCAAGAGACTGGTAGACAGACATAATCAAATTAATTAAAAAAGCAGGTATTCAGACAGACAGACAGACCTTATGTGGCCTCCAAAAAAAACTACTGAAAAATTAATGACCTTGCGCAAAACTAACTGAAAAAGTTTCTTAAGCATTGCAATATATGATATAGCTGAAATATGAAAAAAATTCTTTCGTTAAACATGCAAAACTATTAAGCTTAAACATGGGAGATAGCTGTCACTAGCATTTAAATATGGTATAGATAGATAGATATAGATTCAAACGTTTTCTACGTCAAGAACTAAAACATGCGACATGTGAACAAGATTTAGAAATGATTGCTTCAAGATTTAGAAAAAATTGCTTAAGCGAGAAAATTGTCGGAAAGAAGCTTATCAATAACCGCAGTCTAATGCTTTTCGCGTTTGATTAAAAATTCTGCAATTTTTTCTAAATAAAATATCAATCAACATCTGAATTGGCAACCGACTTGACTAATTTTCTCACATTGTTCACGAAAAAGTTGTTCTTGATTTTTTAATTCAACTGTTGCATGAAGTTTCCGGGAATTACGACATTTGAGATGTAATCGTCAATATTACCAAAGAAATTATTAGATTATGCATAAATTGAGTAATTTGGTCTAGCTTTTTTAAATGCAATAAAAAACTTGATAAAATTACTCAACAAATGTATAAATTAATCATTTCATTGTTATTATTGGCAATTCTAATACTTGCTTTATCAATTAGCCCGTAGAAATAAAAAAAATTGCTGTTTTTCGGCTTTTGACCCTTTCTGCTCTTAGACTATTCTGCTCATTGACTGGCCACCATTTAGTAGCTCCGTAATATAGATGTGGTATGATTGTAAAAAATATAATTGGATCTCTTTTATATATTTGGTGAATGTTAAGGAGACGGGTCTGGTCTAGACAGTGAACTTAATAACGAGCAAAACAAACAAAATGAAGGCATTTTGGTGGGCAATTGAACGAAATAGGTGGTAAACGAATAATTGTTTCACACCATGCTTGCCCTCAAGTCGGATAAAATAAAACTAACAGCTGTAATAAATAGTGATTCAATATTCGGCTTATAGTTTTCTTCTAATTTGGTGCCTTGCTTTTGTTATGGTTGCTTTACAATCTCTCATAATTTCCTAGTAAGTTCTGGATCAGACCCGTCTTCTTGTCATTCACTCTCACCTTTCCCCAAAGCAAAAAAGCGATTTGTTGCTAGGGTCCATGTTCGTATGTGCGTAACAATTGAATCCTAGTTCACTGCAATCCTATTAGTCACGAGGTAACATAGGAGAATTTTTTTAAAAAACTTTTTTGGGTACATGAAATTTAAGCTGAAAAACGATTTTTTCCTAGAGAGAACGATCTCAACTTGCCACATTTTTGCGATGGGACCAAGTGAACAACTTCCCCCTAAATAAAATTAGGGAGGAGATCGTTCGCTAGGTTAAAAATGTTATTTTACTGGCAATCAGATTTCAGCATCCCACATGCAGGCCTTTTCCAAAAATTAATAACGAGATTACAAAAACAAACTTGGAATTTGTTATTCAACTTTTCCCCGCTTTCAACGGTTGGAAAAAATTATAACCGTAACTACGGCTAATACCGCCGTATAATTGCTTTAATTTATGATCAAGCTCGCTTGAGATCATTCTCATAATAATTTCGCGTTTGAAACTACTGTAATTTAGTAAACTTATAATACCATCTTATCTAGTAAACACCTGAAAGCGAATTCTTATTATGACTAGCGCATGACTCGCACGTACGGTGCTTCAAACAGATTTTGAACGTGAAAAAAAACTTCCTTAAATATTTACAAAAAACAAGGACGTATTTAACACAACCGTAAATGTAACTTGTGCCCATTTATCAGGGTTTTGCATTTCTTAATTGAACATTTTAAGAAGTTATCTTTTAATTTATTTTTCAGCCAAATGGTCACATCTCAAAAACTTCTGAGCTTTATCAGTTTTATGACGCGCAAAGCCAAAAAGGACCTTACACGCCGAAAGCAAACTCATGCCCGTGCATACTTTAATTTTCTGACAACAATGAGACTTTATTTGAAAAAAAAATTTGTTTTCTCTAAAAAAATTACTGGAAAATCAAAATGAAGAAGTTCAATTTAAAAGACAAACTTACAGCCTATAGGAGCTTCCTGACAGCATTACAAAACATGGTTGAAAATTTCAAGATTTGTCAGTTTTTAAAATCGATGCTTTTGTTTTCAAAATCAAAACATACAAAGCAGAAACCATATCTCTGCTCTTAAAAGGTTTTGATCAGTCATACTTGGAGGCCATATATGCAATTCCTGATTGCACCCTGATAACACTCCACCAAAGGGTTGAAAGAAATCTTTTTTTTTTTTCATTTTTAAATCTAAGTTTCCTTGAAAAAAAAATGAACAAACTATACGAAACGACCTCGAAATTTGAGAATTATTATGATTAATATTATTAAATCTACGTTTAATTTCTCTCACTTCACTTGTACAATAATCAGTATCAAACTGGCTTCCTAAAGAATTTAACTCGTCAAAATCGATGCCGCTAAAATATAAATAGCACATAATAGATTTTAGTCAAGTGCGTAAATGGTATGGGCGGCGAATTGCTGGGAGCCATCACAACAAAGTCAGGCACTGGCCTATTCGTCTTTTTAGCTGGACAAAAATCAGAAATTAAGAATCTATTGAGAAAATATCGGGTAATCTACAGAAGAATATTTTACAATGCAAGATAAAATATCAGTGGCTGGTCAAAACACGGAAGTGAAATTTGAGATGAGTACAACATTGACTCAAATAATTATTGCAAAGCTAGACCGCTTAAAGAATGCAATTTATTAGAACTAAACCACCAACAATTAAAATGGAAATATATTTAAGAATGCTTGAAGACTAGCACGGTCAAATTTGAAGCAGATTGATCAACCAAATAGCCGAAAAATATAAATATACGGAAATTTATAATGATAAGATCATCGAAATCTATACACAAATGCCATCATAAAACTCTTTGAAAAGCCTGTAACACTAGTTTTTTGAGATTTGATGTTTTTGCTAAGAATTTAATTGAATTATTTAATATTTTGATTACACTTCTAGCGACATTTTGGTTGGAAAAACGCAGTTGGAGTTACAGATTTCAGCAAAAAAAACTTCAAAATTGTTTAACTTAGTCACGAGGAGCCAAAGGCTTCCATGTTTTGGACGTGTACTTGGCAACCATGTTTTAAATGAACCATCATCTTCTCTTTGAGATGCGCAATCTGCTCTCTTAATTGGTGCTTCCGCTCGCTTAAGTCAGAGTTGCTCTTTTTCAGCTCATTTACTTGGTCTTCTAGCGTCGAAATTTTTTCCAGCTTCCTCTTTCTGCACTTTGTCGCTGCAATTCTATTGCGTAGCCGTTTCCGCTCTTGTTTTATTTTGTCCTGTAGGGAAGGATTGTTCGAATGAGGCAGCGGCGATTGTTCGGAAGCGGACGTCACAGATTCGGACGACGATAGATTGCCTGGTTCGGTCTTCACCGAATTAGGTGAGTTTGAATTGGAATACTGATCTACATTGCTCAAGTAAGTAGACGATGTGCTTATATTGCAACTTTTCTGGGCTTGTGCGGAAATTTGAGACAGCAGATTTCTTTGATGACTTAGATCCGAGGATACATTTGGCGCACTGAAAATCATACGAGCCCCGGATTCTGTAACTTTAGGCACTGATTGAAGGCTTGCGAGAAGGAAGTTCTGAGCCGAGCTTGTTGGATGCTGATTTGGGTTTATTAGAATAGGTGCACTGGAAATGTATTGCGGTACGCCGTGATTAATAACAATATTGCGCTGATTTGGAATCGAAGAAGACATCGATTGCTGAAGATCATTCATAGAGGAACGCGTTGAGGATATGTCGACGTAAAGATTGTTAGGAACACTTGTTGCGTATGATGTCGAATCCAATTGACTGACAGCTTTTGGATTGACAAACTGAGTAGGCGTAGGCGTTGAAGACCCCCCACCTGTGATCGTATAATTATCCAAAATCATTTTTTCAAGCTCCGGAGAATCAACTTTTAACATTTGCATGTCAGGTGAGTCGAGGAAACAGGGATTATTATTCTGGCTGTCATTTTTCTTTGGCGTATGAGCATGGGTGAAATCAAGAGATAATTTAGACCGATCACTCCTCGCATTTGATTGGAAAGCGCCATCATGTGAACCTCCCACATTATTCTGATACATTCTTGCTAAACAGAAAACTGTCCAGAATTGGGCAGTTCAAACTTGAAGTCACAGCTTTCTGAAAAATGAGATACAGCAAATCGTTATTCGTCAAAAGAACAATGGACGATAAAGTAACTTTTGCGCTTAATGAAAATGCCTTCTGTTAAAAAAAAGCATGCCAAAACTCAGTTGAAGAAGAAAGGACGCTTCCAAAAATCGGCAGTTGTTATGATAACTTGAACAGAGCACTAGTACAAGTTTTTGGAGGCATTGAGGGCTCAAAAAAAAGAGAAACAAACTCATTGGAAGCCAGAAAGATCAAAGAAAGTATTGATTTAAGAGTCCGACGAAAACAATTTCTTTAATGTTGAAAGCTTATACACACATGTTCCACTCGAAAAATCATGATACAGAACTTAGAAAAATATGTGTAGAGATACGGCCTGTGTGTTTGTAAAGTTCCTTTTAATTCGAACGATTGGACAAACCGTGAACGCTGAAGGATTCGGAAATTCCTAAATTTTAAATTTTCGAAGTGATGACGTAACAATTCTCAGAAACGTCAAAAACGGCCATTTTGGCAGAAAAACTGAAAAGCAACACAACAACGATAGTTGCGCTGACAAAAACAACGAAGATTGTGGTTAAAAAAACCACAGAGAGAAACAGAAGTGACAGAGACAGCTCCGAGTTGCAACTATTGTGTCGCTACAATAGTTGCAAAGCAGTTGCTAACAACAGTGAGGGTTGGAAACCAGCCTTCCGGATTACAGAGAAATCAAGCTTAACGTGCTTGATTCAGTGGATTCGAGAATCCGTAGGGGTTTCGGGACTGAAACTTTTATCATTTTATATGAACTTTTAGCTTCCCTGTCATGTCCTGAATTGAATTTAATTAACATCCGAATTCATTCTACTAAGATGAGAAGCTAGGAGTTGGGGGAAAGGGTTGATCCATCTTCGATGGAGATGATGATTTTTATCTACTGAACAAAAACAATAATAATTCAAAAAATAGTAGTAGCCCTGTTTTTAGGAGTGACCTCGTGGTCTGGGGATACTGAGACCCAGCCATGAGCTCACTATTTCTGCATGTAATTAAGTTAATTTGAGTGTTTTGACCGAAGCCGAAAGCAGTAACGTTTTTTGTCGACCCGATGTTAGAAAGACCACCGAAAGTACTGGCTTGGTAGAGACGGTGTTTAGACGTTAGCCAATCGTCTTAGAACTTAGTTTTGTTCTCCGTCGATATGTATCTTCCGGGCGAATGTTACATTTCTTCATGCTTCAGTTAATTTGAGTGTTTTGACCGAAGCCGAAAGCAGTAACGTTTTTTGTCGACCCGATGTTAGAAAGACCACTGAAAGTACTGGCTTGGTAGAGACGGTGTTTAGACGTTAGCCAGTCGTCTTAGAACTTAGTTTTGTTCTCCGTCGATATGTATCTTCCGGGCGAATGTTACATTTCTTCATGCTTCACGCCTATCTATGACGACGAACCTGCAGTGCACTGTGCCATTCTGCCGGATTGGCACAGTCAAACTCTATGACGAGAACAAAACGGACGTTAATGACGTTACAGACGAATTCGTGATAAAAAGGAGGGTCAGAATGTTCTGGAATTTTTTAAATTTTAATATTTCGATTGTCGACAGTTCATTTCCCGGAAATAAAGAGAACGGCCATTTTGACGGAAAAAGAGAAGAGAAAAACTGTAACAGTCGCCTACTTCGGTCACATATGAAGCTTAAGAAAAATAGGCTCTATAAACTTGGCTCAAGAGTCAGGGACACTATCTCTTGTGTTTTTCTACCTCAAAACGGTCGGAGCCAATTCGGTTCACTTGCGACATGAGACTAGAACCCGTTACAGCTTAAAGGCCACAACCAAAATACCCCCCCCCCCCCCCCACTCTAGAAAATGAGAACGTCCCCATACTTAGGTCTCAAAATACCCAAAATACACGAACGCCGTTAAAAACAGGGTCGGAACAGTCCGTTAAATTACTTTTTATTGGACAGTGGAACTTTGATCCATTTCAGATGGATCAACCTAAAACTCGCCATATCTCAACATACTTATCACAGAATACACTCGGGAAAATTAAATTAGGTACTTACATAGCAGCACACTTGAGAATCAGAGTAACTAAGCTAATTAGTAACTCTAGCATAAATATAATTGAATATAACTCGAGAAGTTTTCTATCAATGAATCCCAATCGAAGGAAATGAGTTAATGATAAATTGCGCTCAATCCGGAAGGGTCAGCTGATTTGCGCTCAATTCGGAAGGGTCTTGGCAGAAGACTGATCCGGCAAGCAGTACAAGGAGCAACAAGAAGGCGCTCAAC